TGAAAGACTGAACTATTTTTGACGTGAACAATTTCTTAAGTCAACAGAATTCCCACTGTATCAGTTGACATATCATGCAGTCCTACTATAACGACAAAATTAAACAGCATACACTAAAACAGTAGAGAACGCTGAAGGCGCACTCTGATTGGCTACTCAAACTCCGAATATTCTTTACTTTTCATCTCTGAGCAACTCGCGCGGAATTTGCGCCCGAAAATAGGGAATAAATGAGCGGTTAAAATCATCTTTTCGTGCTATATTATCTCATTGTTTAGTATATACTAAAAAATGTATTTAACTTAGAATCACATAGCTAAAGGTAAACTCGCGGTCCGATTGGCCATCGAAGAGAGGGCATTTAGCGTGGACTTATATAGTCAAATTGGAACGAAGTTTTCTACAATGTCATTTTGAAGCGTTTTCAAAACCATTGTCACCTTTTGAGGAGCCAAAAACAGACAAAAGCGTTTTTTAAAGTGAGCCAGAAGTTCTTCCCTGTATTGAAATGAACTATAAATTCCTGGAGAAGCCTGAAGAAGCCTCTTTCGCCCGCGACATCGAGAAAGCGAAAAAATCCTGTGAACACGGCCCAGAAAGCGGCAAGCAAAAGTTCAGCCAAACAAGACGAAGAAGCGACAACGGAAGAAGTGCCAGGGTCGATTGTCCTATATACTGCTTTCGGTTGGACACTACTTTGCTTAACAATCAGCTACTTACAGAGCAGACGGATTTAGCCATGTACAGCATCAACGAGACGACACTAGCAAAGAGGTCAGGTCAATGCTATTTCTCGTGCTATAACAATTACATTTCCTTCGTTTTTTCATGTATTTATTTTTTGATAATAAAGTTGCGTATTCTCGCTTTCAACTCGACATATTAAACACTCGAAGAGAAACTCCATATTTACGCGCGCCCATGTATTATTCTCTATTTAACAGTTAACAGTTAACAGTTTTAACAGTTTGACTTCACCTTCTTTGTTCCTACATCTCCTTGAAAACGTCTCGATGACGTCAAATCGTATCATTGTACAGCGGTTTCTGACGTAAAGCTTGCGCAGACTGCCGTATTTAGAAAGTCCTTCATCTTTTTTTAAAGAATGGCCTCAAGTCCTCTTCATTGCAGAGTTACACCACATTTTTCCACTTAATTATTCAAAATGATCGATAAGTATCAAAATTTGGAAGGAAAGAAAGAAAATGAACTTGAAATACATTTACTGGAAGAATCCTTGATCCGAGGTATGAGCCAGGACTTACATTTTTCAAAATTGTCATTAAGTTGACCAGAATCCATGTAGCCAGTTTCGTCACACAAGCCAATAATGAGTACTTTTAATGCCTGCAACATGTACAATGTAGGAAAGTATGATTCAATTCAGCTGCCCATTCATTTCAGGACATAAATCAATTGCATTTAATAATGACAACTTTGTGCTATAGTGCATTCATTTAGACTCAATTTATCCCACTTTCTATCAAATATCTAAAAGCAATTTACTTTTATGGCTTTTAAATCTCTATATTGTGTCTGAACTGCTGAAAAAAACAGCATTAACTACAGTCTCCTGAAATAAGTATCACTCTTGAATCCGAAGTGAAGGTCATGAAAATAAAGGACATGATCATTAATTGAAGAAGCTCTTCATTTTAAAATAAATTCTCCTCGTCAAAACCAAAGGAATTGAAAAGAGAATAGTACAGGGAAAATAAATGCTAATGTTAGGGTGCCTTAGGTGAAAAGAATGATAGTTTTGTGAGTAGCACTGTTATTATCATTAATGTCAATATCATTATTGTCAGCAAAAATTTGTTGTGATTCATTTTGTGGATCAAAAACCAAATCAGAACCTTTCTAGATGATGAATTTTTATTTTAACCAAGTTTTGTTTTCTGCTACAGAAATAGATTGCAACTTCTGTTTGCATGCCCAAAAAGGAAGTACTTTGTCTAAGTATGTGTTTTCAGAAAATATAACAAGTATAATGAACAACTAGAATTACTTGTAGGGATGGTACAGTGGAGAGAGTGCTTGGCTCCCACCACTGTGACCTGGGTTTGATTCCTGACCTTTGTGTCACTTGTGGGTTGAGTTTGTTGTTAGTTCTCATCCTTGCTCTCAGGGTTTTTCTCCGAATTTCCTCCCTCCACAAAAACCAACACTCCAAATTTCAATTCGGTCTGGAAATAGTGGACAAGAAGAGCCACTTGGTGGAATAAGATTCCACTAAAATTCCAATATCATATGGTGAACTTCATTGATGACAAGTGCATGGTCATTTGCATGTATAGCTACAGCTCAAATTGAAAAAGACAACATTTTTAAACTTTCTTGTAATAAAGTAAGCACTCCAAAGGAGTTTATTTTTAAAAAGGTGTTTTACTATCGAGTTTAGTTAATTCAACTCATAAACTCATTCATAGTTCTTGTATGGATAAGCTGAGTTATACTGTCCTCACTGAAGTCTGTAGCACTATCATCAAACAATTCACAATTTTATACCAAGGACCAAGATTGTGGAAATCTCTGCCTCATTCAGTAATTGAATCTAACAATATAAGATCTTTCAAATGGTTACTTAAATCCTATTTAGTTAATTTACAAAATACTCAATGAATTTTATAGCAAGGTTATCAATATAAAAAAATTAACTATAGAATAGTTGAAAGCAAAGAGTTACTTAATGGAAAGAAAAATTTTATCCTCACCAGCAAAGAATTATAATTTTCCTCCATGCAAACTAGGGCGGCCCTGTTGCTGTTGCTGTTATTTACTGTGGTCGTTTCATGAAATATATTTTTATCACCTGAAAAGGTGATCACTTCTTGGATAGACAGTGTGTTCTCAAGTTGTGTAACCAGCAATAGATACTGAAGCCACTTGGAGTGCAAGCAGGCTATTTGAATGGAAAGCGTCAAATTTTGCAGTCCCCATTAAGTTCAAGTCTCATTTTAGAGGTAAGAGGAGAGAAAGAGTAAAAAAGTCAGCATATTTTATAGAGACAAAAGCATAAGAATTTGTTGTGATTTAAGTTGCAAAAAATTATCAATACACGAATGACATGTTTTTCATTTGTTCACTGTTTTGGTAACCGGTGTAGTATTGCAAACTCTTTGCTTTAAACTTCGTATTAATATCGCCATATTCCAACACACTCGTCGCATGTGCAGTAAGTAATTTGAATACTGACATGGCGTCTCGTCTCTTTGTATTATTTCTCAACATTACACTCCGCCAAGAGGTTGTAAACTGTCTATATTCTCTTGATCCCGTTAAGTAATTATTTCTCCACAGTTGAAGATTTTCCAAATCCCGCTGAAACAAGCCTTAAACAGCTGCAATGTCTATAATCTTTGAACTTTTACAGTCGTTTCAAACTATTTCGCATAATTGTGATCATCGTTGGTTCGAAGATGTAACTATTCATTGTAAGACTCTGCATGGCCGAGACTTCATACAGGCTTGTTTACATTTCTGTCAAGACGCTGACGTCACGTTAATCTAAGAACCCAATCATCCTCACGTACTTTGAATGCTGACATGTTTTATCTTCAGATTTCTTTTCCTGAATCTCTCGCTACAGAAATATGGACCATTTTGAAAAAAAAACAATAATTACTGTGAAACAAAAAATGAGTACATGTATTTCGCAGAAGTATATTCAGCACAATAAGCGCCAGGCCGCCAAACAAGTATGAAAACTCACAAGGGAGTTCAACTACTGTGATCTGAATCGCCAGAAAATAAGGATATCTTTCTTCTTGTTTTCTCTTGTCTGAATACATTGAGTGGCGCTTGATAAAACGTATTTCTGTTAAGATTTTAGCTTTGACGTCTGAGATGCATTGAAACCGATGTATGCATCCAAGTTATCTGATGTCACTGATTATTTAACAGTTTTCATTACCATAAAGCGACCCCGGTAAATGTCCACCGCTAACCACCAACACTAAGGTGAATAGCTGTTTTAGTGTATGCTAAAACAGTAAGATAATACAGCACAAAAAGATGATTTTCACCACTCATTTATTCCTGCAATGATTAGAATATTTTCGGGCGGCGCAAAACTCGCGCGAGTTGCTCGGAGGTAAAAAGCAAAGGATATTTGGAGTTTGAGTTGCTAATCAGAGTGCGTCTTGAGTGCTCTCTACTGATTTAGTATATGTTAATTACTATTACTGTTATTGTAGAACTTTGCATGACATGTCAACTGACAGAGTAAGACTTAAGAAATTGTTTACGTCTAAAATAGTTCAGCCTTCAAGACCGTGTTTTTATTATTCAGGGAAAGACCTTTGAAAACGTTACTGGCGAAATACATGTACTCATTTTTTGTTTCACAATGACTTCTTTTTTTCAAAATGGTCCATATTTCTATAGCGAGAGATTTAGGAAAAGAAATCTATAGATAGAACATGTCAGCGTTCAAAGAATAAGTACGTGAGGACGATTGGGTTCTTTGATTAACGTGACGTTAGCGTCTTGACAGAAATGTAAACAAGCCTGTATGAAGTCTCAGCCATGCAGAGTCATACAGTGAATAGTTACATCTTCGAACCAACGATGATCACAGTTATGCGAAATGGTTTGAAACAACTGTAAAAGTTCAAAGATTATAGACATTGCAGCTGCTTAAGGCTTGTTTCAGCGGGATCTGGAAAATCTTCAACTTTGGAGAAATAGTAACTTAACGGGATCAGAAAAAAAGAATCGAAATTATCGCCTGAAGAAGATTCGCAGTATGCAGTCTAAAAGTCGCCGGCGATTCAAAACAGAAGTGACTACATAGTGAGACAAACAGTTGCACTTCATATTCAAGCAATTTAAGTATAACTGATACATAAATCCCACTAATTAGAGTGTGGAAAAAACAGCTGGTAATTTTTGGTTAAGTAAAACTGATTAAAAAGATCTTCTTTTGAAACTCTCTTTGTCTAGCTCGTTACAGCATAACGACGAAGGAGATTTGAAAAAAACATTTTGAAAGCAGCCGTCGTTTTTACGTTGTCGTTTTTTCATTCCTTCGTTGTACAATTTTGTAGATGCGATTCAACCCATTTTTTATTGTGGACTTCTTTTCAAAACCAGCGTTCGCACAAAGGTAGGAATTGTAGAAAAGTTGGTGCAAGGCATGGTAACCGAAGTCTGAATTTTTTGCGTTCATTAACAAGCACTTGATTTTTGAGGGAAATATTAGTCAGCTGTCATGTACATGTTGTAACATTGAGGAAGCTGTCTTCAAACTAATCGGTAAAATTGCTTTTATTGCTACGCACCTTTTTGCCTTTACAAGTGTGTTCACGTTCATCCAGCACAGTTACATTTTAAGTGTGTGGAAAAGAAAAAGGTCTGGAAATATGTGTGCACACTGTGAGACCCTCGCAATTCCTGTTTACTTGAAACTTTTATTGTATATTAAGATTGAATGAACATTGGCATTAGCCGCCTCTAGACACGTATGAGAGGCCGCATGTAAGTTTACGAACCTCCGTGAAAGAGCTGCTTTATATTTCTCTAGAGGGCCTTCTTGTCGGATACGCACAACAGGAAGCAGGTGTCAACGGCTTTTCTTTGTGGCAAGTTTGTTGAACAGTTCACAAATTGTTCGAAAAATTCTCAGGAATTGGCATGTTTTCAGACACGTGCACGCTCGTGTAACGAGATCGTTGTCTTCCGTGCAACAAGGTTTTCGGGAGCTACCTTAAAGAGACTCTGCAAATAATTTTCCCCTCATGTGAGGAGATCAGTCATAAAAGTTAAGTGATAGGTGCAAAAGATTTGAAATTTTGCAATACAGAGTGGTCTGTATTCGATAATTAAGTAAAAAATTAGGATACAAGGACAACGCTTTAAAGCCTTGCCGAAAAGGATGTACAGAAGAACCTACCTAAGTCGAACTCACGAGGAAAACAAAAAATGGTTCGAGTTAGCGGGGCGCGAGTTAACTGATAGTGAATGACGGACAAAATGCCGAGGGCCGAGCGAAATGGGATCTTGTTTGAGTTACTGGGGGGTTTGAGTTAGCTGTGTTCGAGTAAGCGTGGTTCTCCTATTGTTTTCACAATTAATTTTCAGCAGTCATCACCTGTCAACAATAATCATTTTATTTTGAAAATCCAGGTTGTTAGCAGGGCTGTTGGTCTCCTCGAGAGTCAAAGAAAAGTGATAAAGTTGATGTCAAAATCATGTCCACTACATTTGCTGCTCTGTGGAAGATATTGTTCGTTTCACACGTCTTTGCGCAAGGTTAGATTTAATCTAGAAGAAAAAATTGTGCGAACATTCAGTAAAATTCCAATAGCTATGGTTTACAATGTGTCTTAAGTACCTCGAACGAAGAAAAAAAATACAAAGTTACAATCAGCAACACAAAAGCGACGTTACCCTTTGCAATTATTAGTGTGATTAGCGATACGCGAGTTTATATGAACTATATGAAGAGTAAAAACAGGTGGTGCATCGGTACTTTAGAACGAGGGTTTTCAAATTTTCTGCTTTTGACTGCAAGTTTCAGAATTCTTCCTGCTCGAATGCGCGAAAAATAGTGCTTTTTTTTTCAGAAATGATCAAATTCCTGCTCGAATGCACCCAAAATAGCGATTTTTTGCAGTATATTCTGTCAAAGTTGTAATCAAATGAAAGTGAAACCTTTTTAAAATTATCCGTGAGTTTGCACGTAAATTTTTCGTAAAATCTTGACTTGTTAACATTAGCCTTCGGGTTTAATTAAGCCTTTCCATGACAGAAAACTTTTCCCGGCAAAAATTGAACGATTTAATTTTTTTTATTTAGAACATTTAATAATTTCGTATTCATTATGATGGATAACCTATTCAAGGATAAATACCTCAATTCTCCAGTAGCCCACTTAGCATAAAAATACCTACACCTCATTAACACAGAATCTGCTGAATATATGGAAACTGGATAATAAAGAAAAGCAGGCTAGTGTAACGATTTGCCCTAACGCGCATATCGCTCGAACGCAGCTGAAGCTCTGTGGCATATACAGCTGCCTTAGATTGCTTCATGTTGATTTTTGTTAGACCACTTAATAATCAACTTGTGTTCCCTTTCGTTTAGCATTTTTCATGTTTTTTATTATCAGAAACGTGCAGAATCTTGGAGTTTGTTCAACCCGAGGAAGACAATTACCTCGAAAATCACGTCATTAAGTCCTTGATGGTTGATAACAAAGATCAGTGTGAATTGAGGTGTTACGCAGAGAACTTCTGTTCATCCTTCAATCTTGGAATTTCAGAGACCAGGGGCAAATTAAAATGTGAACTCAGTGACTCTGATCACTTTCAACATCCTGAACATCTCATTTGTAAGAAAGGCTTCTCATATCATCCAACCATGGTAGGTATACTGCAAAGAAAAGGAAAGGCGAAAATATACTCCCCCACCCCCATCCCTCTCCTTATTCTTGACGGTCGCTCACCCGCTTGGTACAAGTTTCTTTCTCTCCCCATCCTTCCACTGCCATTAGAATAAAAGTTAGCGGTCATAATAAATACTGAGCACGCACTCGCCAATATTACGCCTACCCCGTAGGCTAGTGTGAACCTTCACTACGACCTGAATGACTATTGATTAAAAAAAAAAGGATTTTTGTATGGATTATTTCAAAACTACATTTATCTGAATAAGATGACAGGATAAAGTTTGAACGTAAACTGCTCTCGGCTGGTAGGAGTTAAAGAAAAGTTCATCCAGCCAACTTAAAACTTTAAGGAAAATTTCAAATTTCTGAAAATATTATAGTACACATAATTTCTTCGTGATATGGTTATTTATTTCAGTGAAATATCACTTAGAAATCTTTTTTATCTTTTTCGTTTTCAACAGAAGTTATGTGGCACTTCTCCTTGTCCCCCGGCTGCTTCTTGTGTACCAACTATTGTTGGAAAACTCCGTTGCGTTTGTCCTGCTAACTGGACTAGAACTGAAAGCTGCGAAAGAGGTTTGTATTATTATCGCGATACACCCTTTGTTATATACCTGTTTAACGTAAAGCGTTGCACGTAATGATCTACGACCTGAGAGAAAGCCTCACCTTCCACCCGCACTCATTTCTTTGTATGTTAGTGAACAGTTATTTAATTGTTAGCGTTGTGCAATTTGACAAACAAAAGTGCTATGTTTGAGTAATAGGCAGCGTGTAAGTTACTTGCCTTATTAACTTCGCAGCTATTGTCGTGCTTCGTACGGTCGAAGCACAGGAACGTGTTGAAATCTTGCTCGCAACTTTGCACGATATAACACGGCGACCGTGCCAATTTTACAACACGCCTCTTAGAGTTAAAGTTGCTTTCGATTTGTAAAAAGAAGTACGTCCGAAGCTTTAAGGCTTTTTAGATCACCGATGCGCCCGGCCGATATACGATACGCAGTATCCAGTGAAACTAATTTGCCTAACATAAACGAATACCTCGACTAGTCGTCCATCATTTCAAACTGTGTTTGAGTTTTTTCCTTCATTTTTTACTTCCTCATTCTCTTAAAACAGCTTGCAAAACACGGACCGAACGAGCAAAGTCCTCTGCTCTTGAAATCGTACATGAACTTTTGAAGGTAGCAAGCACAAGCTTTTAAAATAATAAGAGCGAACCTGTATGATGCAAAGCAAACGGCTTGAGTGTAAACTGTGTTATTTATATTGATAAATCTGTTAACCGACAACAACGACAGTCCGTGTGGTGCAGTAGTAGCGTCATCTTTTTTTTTCTTTCTACTGACGGAGTGTACAAAATAATGAAATATCTAATACACCCTTTTCTTATTAACAGACAGTCTATTTGCCAAACTTTAAGCGTTGTAGATTCCTTTGACTGTCGTCACCTATGCCTTCTTTATCCTCTTAATAAGTAGCAATGTTTACATGCTAGGATCAGCTAAAATCAAAATAATTAAGAACGCGGTTTTGTTGAACAATGGCTAAACTCTGTTCAATTAACGGACCATAATGTTTTTATGTTAAATAATAGACTAATTGTGCCATCTAAGTGTTTTAAACAAACGAGTTTTCTTAAGTCTGTGAATAAGGGTCCTCCTCTTTCCTCTACATTTCATATTAATGCGAAATGATTCCACTGCTCACTAAAACATGGCGAGTCAAACTTTCTTTGTAAAACGGACACAAGAAAGCCTTATTTTCCGCTATCCAACTGCTTGAAACCTTTACTTCCACCTCGCCATCTCCTGAAGGTAAGCTAGCGTGTCAAGGAACAAAGGAACTTAGCGTGTTTAAAAAAAAAAAAAATCTAGCATGTTAGGAAAACAAAGCTCTACCGTGTTAGCCAGATATGAACAATGGCTACAACACACTTTCTAAAATAAATTGTTTTTATGCGCATATCTGTACGGTAAGCGTGTCATGCCATTAGCGTGCGAGCGTGTCATAACATACCGTTTGCGTGCGTTCACCTTGTTCCCTGAAATCCCGTGGGGGGTCACATACAGTAGCATAAATTGTGAGAAAGGTTGGTCAAAGAGTCAGGTGTTCGCCTTTCACCATTAGCGCGTACCTTTTTTCATGCCTTAATAACATCGAGCGAATGGTTTGATAGTATTCTTACTGAGAGCATTATTCTCCAGTGTTTAATCGTTAGCTAACGTAGGGTCTCACTGTTTTGTTGAAGATACGGACGAATGTTCCTCTGGATCGCATGACTGCTCAGCGGACGCGTACTGCAACAACACTGTGGGCTCATTTACCTGCACTTGTAAAGCTGGATTTTCAGGAGACGGCAAAAAATGCAAAAGTAAGAAACCGATATTTTGTTTTCTTTTTATTTTGTTGCTTTTTTTAACATTATTAACTTTTATAAGTTATATGATCATCATATATTTCTTATAAAAACTTTATACGTGTGCGGATGGTGCTCCAAAATGAACTCTATCTCACCCAGTTTCGCAATGGAGTACTGGTCAGAAACAAAATGATACTTTAAGTAAAAGCTTTTTAGAAGAGCTGTAGAGACTGTGTTCAGAACCAAAGATAACTGACAATGCATCCACCCGCATTTAGCTGTTTCTTATTCCGGAGAGTGTCACGGTATGATTTCTGGTAATCAGTACGAAGTGTTCAATAAGTGATATCTCAGGTTTTTTGCTGCTTCAGCTCGTTTCAAACTCTAAACACTTAAAACGCTTGCCACCCGTACGGGTAGCACTTCACTCGTCTTATTTATGACTATAGTTGCGTAAGCGAGTAGGTAGAAGTCTGGATGATTGATAGTATCGATTCCATCTACTTACAGATATCATTGAATGTAACACCGGAAGTGCCAAATGTCACGTGAACGCCACGTGCAGCGTCACTATTGATGGCTACATTTGTAAATGCAAAGACAATATGATCGCAGATGGACTCTTATGCGTGGGTGGGTGTTTTGATAAACGCGTGCTATATTAAGAGTTTATATCCAACGTAAGCTCGGCCTCAGTAGGACCCTGCAATACCACTAGTGAGACTTATTACGGATTTCTTTCACCGCCTTTTTGAAGCATGAAAGTTACTGAAAACCCGCTTCTTCAAAAAAGGTTCATGCCCTTAAAGATTAAACAGTTATCCCACTTGTGCTGAACTACATTTAGTGCTCTGTAGTATCTGCAAATGTTGTTTACATCAAGTAATTCGCTGATCTTCGGACGAAAAGACGGGAATTATATCAAATCGTCCAATTACTTGCCTTCTAGACTTTTTGTCTTTGTTGGTTTTAAATTTAGTTCACACTTCTATAAACATGGTTCAAACTTACGAAAAAAATGTTTTATGTATGATAAATCGTGATAAAACCATATCAGTATTCATTTTCTAATTCAAGGATTCAAAGGAGATCGTTTTCATTGGGCACTCAATGGATCTGATTCAAATATAAGGTAAGGTGAAAGAACGCTTCATTCTGTTAGGAAGAACTTGTTGGAACACTACGGTAGTGAAAAGTTTAAATTCTTACTTACAATTATGGATAATCTCCAGTTTTAATGTATTAATTTTTTTGAGATCAGGACATAATAGTCGGGGTTATATAGCGGCTTTGACAGATCAAAGTTTTGACCTACAATATTTTCTAAAATGCATTGCATCCAACACACAATTGCGGTTTTTTTGCCGCGTTTCCCCATTTTTTCACAGGAATCTTCTTGGACGTCCTCATACAGTGAATACTTTCTGGAGAGGATCATTAAGCTTTCTTTCTTGAAACACTGTTTAATACTTTCAGTTAATGGTAACATAATTTCATTTAGGTACTTGTAAAGATAACAAATGCATCTCCCTTATTTTCATGAATTGAGAAGTTTGTACAATGGTGCTTCCTATCAAAATACTGATGGCAGGAAAGTACTCTACTTGAATGGATCCCGGCGTTCCTACGCAGAAACCCCAGCACTCCCGATCCGAGCTATCAGCTTTAGTATCATGTGTTGGATAAATGTTTTGAGCCTTCCAAGTGATTGTTCAGTTCATATCTATTCTGACTGGTCAAAACCACATCAGTTCAGAATCTTTATCAATAAAAATCATCGAGTTTGTGCTAATCTGCGAAATGGTCATCGGTTTGACTTCTGTAGCTGGTAAGTGCTTAAGATAGACCTTTTCTTTTCCTGCGTAATATTAATAAATAGAAACGTAAAGCATTCAAGTGTGTATCCCAGAGCGATTTAACTGAGGTATACTGAGAAGTGGAGATTTGCGCAAAGCCTTATTCCCTTTTGTGTTCTGTTCTCTCATAAACAAAGGAAGATCATCCCCAGTAAATGGATGCACGTGGCGTTCACATGGAGCCGAGATAGAAAAGAGGGAATTCTGTACATGGATGGAATTATAAAAGGTAGCAAGAGTGTTTCTAATGGTTCTTTAGACCTGATCAAAAATGATCATACAGTTTTCGACATTGGGTTGAAACGAGACAGCATAAAGAAACCGACTTTTGATGGGTACATGAGAGATCTTCTAGTAGTTGATAAAGCACTATCAGGAGATGAAGTGAAATACATGAAAGACATACTTTAAGGAAGAGCACGCGGCGTGGCGACCTTTGAGGAGGGTTACAAAGGAGACTGGGGCAGAGCAGTACAATCGAACGTTCTGATTGGTGGGATGTTTGGGCAGATCGTTCGAAATGAAATCGTTAAAAGCTTTCATGTTTTCTCGTTACGAAAATAGAAGGTGCATATGGGCATGAACATTATCAATTTCAATGAAAATCATTCCACGGGTACCATTGCAGCATCGAACAACAAACCAAAGAGGCATAAAAAAATTCATTCTTAGACAAGCTTTAAGGTGGCAACCAGAAGAGGTGGAATGAAAAACATTTGGAGCAAATAGATCAGAAAAAACATTTTATTTTAAGTTGTTAGTGCTGTACGATAAATGCTGCATTTTCTTTAATCTCTCATAATGGGTGACTCACATGTAGTTGTTCAATCTCGACTACGAGAAAAATCAGTTATCTAATAAGAGACTGTGATAAATCACTCGTTGAAATTCTTGTAAAGAGGACTACAGATTCACTGACGAATGAGCACGGGGTTTTATATGGCGTCAAAGAAACGCTAAATAACACTAAGTTAAAACTGTTCGGTGCACCTGTCGAATACTGTGCGTAACTGATTCATAGCGAGAGATTATGAACTATCCACCAGATGCATAAATCAAGTTTAAACCGTGCCTCATTGCAGTTATGACCAGCTTAACAGTGACGTTTTAAATCTCTCGCAAATGGCAGTGGCTCATGTAATAAATAAAGCCATTTCTCAAAAATGATTTATCAATTTATTGTAAAAGAAACAGGCCACAATGCTAGCCGAATTTTGAGGCTGATAAATGTTAGTATATAAAAGTTTAAAGTTAGAAATCATTGTTTTGGCAATGACATCGAACCAGTCGTCGTTCTTTTTTTCATCTCCACCTTTCTTGTTTAGAAAACTCGGAGAAAAATCCGTGTGCTAACCCACCGTGAAGAACCTTGTAATTATTTTTACTTAACTTCATTTGTAGCTTATTACATTAATAGTAATGACGATATTTTTATTGATGTTGTCATCAATATTATTGCTATTTTAATATCATTATCAATGATTACAGTTAAATGCTAACTGCGGCCTTCAAGTAAAGCTTTTTAAAAGTCGGGTCTCCTCAGCGATTAAATTTACTTTAGCAGCAGTTATGGCTTCAGACGGTCATTTCACTGGGATCTAGGGTTGAAGGGGTGAAAAATGATAGAGCTATTTTTAAAGCGCGTCGAACGAAAGTAATCTCAGAATACATTGTTTTTCTTTACCTCGCCCTATAATTGGTAAAAAAAAAAAAACTGGCCCCACCCGCAGAGCCTCAGTTACAATAACCTTGAATGAACAATGGAAGGAAATGGTAGCGCTTAGGCGAGTGAAGGATAACGAAAGAAGCGGGAAAATATCGCTTAAGACAACTGCGTAAATGATATCACTGAAAGAACCAATGGTGCAGTTTACAGAGTTACTCTTACATTCGACGCTTTGCAGCAATTGCGTGCAAAATTGAAATGATTAGATAATTAATCGTCGATCGATCGATCGAGATCGTCGTACGAGGAAACACACGGTCGTGGTAAAAAGTGGTGATTCTGGTATGTGAATTTCTTATATGTGCTTAACAGAGTTAACTATACTTAAAGTTCGCTCACCATCTAAGCCCAACGTAAATCCAAATTTCACGCAAGCAATTATACTTAGGAAAGACTGTCAATGAACCAGACTTACTTCTCGTCTATCCAAACCCGGCTGACGATGAGAAATGATGATAAAACATGTTTGCGCTGACTCGACCTCTCCTCGCTTGGTTTCACGGAGTCGCTCCTTTCCACCAAACTGCAATCAAGCAAAGAAACAACGTTTGTTACAACCCTGCATGTTTATTAGTACCATAACCAGCTGGGATTATGGATATCAATTTTTTCTTCTTTATTGACATGTCGTAGTTTCTAAGCTAAAACTGAGCATATTTTGCGAAAGAAAAACTCCCAGAATAAGAGAGATGGTAAGTTTTGAGCTCGGTAAAGAAATAGAGAAAGATGTTTTTCGTCATGTCACGAGCGTGGGACAAAGAAAAAATTCTGAGTCCCCATGAGGAATCGAACCTAAGACCTTCGGATTCCGCGCTCGAATGCTCTACCACTGAGCCACAGAGATTACGGTGAGCGCAGAATCCGAAGGTCTGAGGTTCGATTCCTCATGGGGACTCAGAAGTTTTTCTTTTTCCCTCGTTTGTGACAAGAAGAAAAACATCTTTCTCTATTTCTTTATTGAGCTCAAAACTTACCAAATCTCTTATTCTATTTACAAACATTACGCCATCGAAGTTGCTAATCCTAGCAAATGTATCCAATGTATACTTCGCACTCGGACAGTTCGAGAAAGGGATTGATTATCTAGAGAAAGACCTGAAAACCAGCATAGAGTTTCATGATTGGGAAGGAGAAGCAATTGCCTACACCAATTTGAGTGCCGCTTACCATATTTTAGACCAAAATGAGAAAGCCATCGAGTACTGCGGAAAGGGACTTAAAATTTTTCGAGGTAAAGGAATCAGACAAGGTGAGGGAAGAAGCTACCTTAATCTTTCAAGCTATTACCTCCATCTTGGAGATTACGCAACAGCCTTGAAATATAGCGAAGAAGCCCTCAAAGCAATTCGTTCAAATCAGAAGTAGGAGATATCCTACTCAGTCAAGCCAAGATTTGTAATATATTTATGCAGTATGAAAGGTCTATCGAGCGCTGCAAGATAGCTCTTATTATCAAAACAGCCATGGCAGACCAGCAAGGCAAATATCAGTGCTACTTGGCCTTTGGCAAAACCTACAACAGCCTCGGTCAGTATATAAAAGCAATTCACTATGCGAATAGAAGTCTCAAAATGGGCGAAGAACTGGAAATCGGAGATGGATCTCCCTCGAGTATCATTGGTAATGCACTCTACTATCAAGGTCCCTTCGAAGAATCAATTGAATATTTCACGAAAGATCTTCAAATATGTAAGGCACCCAGAGATCATTGCGGCGAAGGAGACTACTGCGGTTTGATTCATTTTGGTAAGATTCGAATAATATACTACAAACGTGTTTTTAAGGTATACCTAACTTTATTAATTCATAATTTCAGTTTCCAATCTACCTTGTAGTTTTTCTTCGACAGCAACAGTTTGATTTTTAGTCGCAGTCCGCTATTTAGTCTCTTGGTTGCCCTATTTCACGAAGAGGAAGGTGGCAAGGAGGACTGGGGATCGATATTTCATAGGACCACTACATCCGAGATCGAGTGGCGTATTTCTCCGATGTAACAAGAGTGGTCATATGAAACAACGACGTCATGATTCCAACCTTTCCAAACTTTGCTGAATGAACGTAGGTCATTAGTAACTTTGGTTTGTCCATATAATTAAAGAAAATTGCGCGTTAGCTCGAAGAAATGAATTTTATGCTCGAGTGGTAAAAACAATATCTCACTCATTCGCTGCGCTGACTCGTGAGATATTGTTCTTCGCCACTGTGTAATATCCTGTATGTTTTTTTTCTTGGACATTATATTCACTCATATTCATATTCACTCTGGTTTTCAGTGCCTGTATTCCCTACTTATGCAGCCGATCTTTTGTTAGTAAAACATAAGCTCTACTAGAAGAAAACCTAAGGCTTGATTGTAAAGTCAAAAGCTATTACAAGAAGTTGCCGTTGCGGTAGTAACATGTTGCCTTCGGTGGCATTTTCATTTGATAGGATAGGAAAAACAGGAAGGCTGCACATGATCCAATTTTGTATAAAGTTAAAGGAACGAGGGTAAACGAACAGTATTAGAGGAGACCCGAAAGTCGTGAGTTGCCTCTGCGACAGGAAAATGAGGAAACTCTTATTTATATTGGTTTTCATTACCTGTATTGCCCATGTATCCAGCTGATCTTATGTTAGTAAAACAAAAGCTCTCTTGGCAGAGAAGCGGGCCAGACTGTAAGTGCCAGTTTAAAAATTGGCACAATTCAAAAGTTTTTAAGAAAATAACCGTGTTCCTTCCTTTTTTCGACTTCGATCAAATTGATGTGAAAATAGGAGTTTTTTGTTTGCAAAATATCCTCAGTTTTAGCACCGAAATTACGATATTTCGTTAATAAGAGAAAAAAATTGATAACCATAATCCTAGCTGGTCATGGTGCTTACAAACATGGAGGATTGTAACAAACGTTGTGTGTTTGCTCGATTGCGGTTCGGTGGAAAGGAGCGACTTCGTGAAACCAAGGGAGGAGAGGGCGAGTCAGCGCAAGGTTTATCATCATTTCTCATCGTCAGCCGGGTTTAGATAGATGAGTAGTAAGTCTAAGTCCTAAGTATAATTGCTTGCGTGAATCTTGGATTCACGTTGGTGGAGATCGTGACCGAACTCTAAGTAGTTAATTCCGTTAAGCACACATAAGAAGTTCACATACTTGAATCGACACTTTTTATTACAACTGTGTGTTTTGTTTCTTCGTGCGACGATCTCTCTTTAATTATCTAATCATTTTATTTTTGCACTCAGTTGTTGCAAAGCGTCGAATGGAAGAGTAAGTCTGTAAACTGTACCATTGGTTCTTTCAGTGATATTTCTCACGCAGTTGTCTTAAGCGATATTTTCCCCCTTGTTTCGTTATCCTTCACTCACCTAAGCGCCACCACTTCCTTCCACTGTTCATTCAAGGTTATCTCAACAGAGGCTCTGCGGATGGGGTCAGTTTTTTTTAGACCGATTAAAGAGCGAGGTAAAGCCTAAACAATGTATTCTGGGATTACTTTCGTTCGACGCTCTTTAAAAATGGCTCTATTATTTTTTACGCCTTTACTTTAGGTCCCAGTGAAATGACCGTCTGACGGCTGACATAGAAAGCTGAGATATATGCAAAGAAGCCATAGTTAATGATATTAACACAACATTAATATTCATAACAACAACGATAAAAATAATGCCATTACTATTAATGTAATAGGTTACAAGTAAAGTTTAGTAAAAATAATTACAAGATTTTGCACGGTAGGTTAGCACACGGTTTTGTCCCAGAGTTTCCTAGAGAAGAAAAGTGAAGACGAAACAAAAAGAAAGAAGACTGATTCGCTCTCATTGCCAAAACAATGATTCCTAACTTTGAACTTTTACATACTGACATTTATCAGCCTCAAACTTCGGCTTACATTGTGGCCTATTTCTTTTATAATAAATT